AATGCCTTGGGAAGCAATCTTTAAGAATATTCAAAGCATTTATTAAATTATAAATAAAAAAATATAAATTATTAAAGTATTTTACGTTGGTTTGTTGGTAGTTCAACGCATATGCGCACAGTACCGAAGCCAGAGCATTCTTCAGATCCCTTTTAAATATTCTCAGTTTAATATGACAAACCTACGGAATCGTCATTAGATTTCGGTGCCCTATCGGCTAGCGCATACTCATTTTAACTTCGCAAAGCATTATGTTGTTACAGGTGTTCCTATTTAAAAAGCTTTGTGGCTTAGGAACGAGTTTTCAATGGTTGAAGAACTTCAAAGCTCCACCCGGTAGAATGGTATCTTTACAATGTATGTTTCTTTTCTGGCTTTGCTCGTGTTGCTTCTGGCTTGCAGATGTCTTTTACAACTATTAGGTGGTCATCTAGAAGAAACCCATTAGCTAAACTCTTTTCCCACGGATTAACCATACCTGTAGACAATCTGCTAACTCGAAAGAGGCGCTAACATTTTAAGATGCATACGGTATACTGATGCGTATTCATGCAATAATCCTCAAAATGGAAACTTGTCCAGACGTAATCACTGCGGGGCAACGATCGATACGGATGCTCATAAGGGTTCGTAGTTTTATATTGTTTACAGGAGCTGTCGTATTTCGCTAAACTAGCCGAAGATATTTGTGTTCTCGAATCGAAATCTAACGTGTCAAACAGCCATTTGTGACGCATGCCCTGGTGATTGTATGGCACTGTTTGTCGCTCAGGACGTTACAATTTTATACAGTGTCTGACGTGTTGGTTGTTTTAATTTCAGATATCGGGCTATCGAATCTACTTGTTGAGACCACCTGTTTTTGTTTGGGGTCGAACCTAATTATTGTAGAGTATAGGAACGTTGAAATTGATCGCTCTGTAGCCGTATCTAACAGGTTGCGTCTTTGCGCAAAATGGAAATAGAGGAAGGCATTCCTTTTTGTTGCAGGAGGAAGTTTACCTAGAGGCGAGACGTTATCAGAACCGAGTTTGGTTACTTTCAAAGGTGACGGGAAAAATAGAAGCACAAACCCAAAACATGTGCGACATCTTGTCGCCAGCGAACAACACGGTACGGGTACGATCCGGAGACAAGCTGAAAAAGCTAAAGACTTTCGTGAATTTTTTCAGATAAAATATATTATCTTTTTTTGTCAAACACACATTACAAGACTGTCCACACTTAATGCAAACAAAATGCTCATCGTGTTGTGCATAGTGCATCACTACATACTATATTAATAATTAAATATAAAGGAATAGCTAACTTAGAGAAATGTGCAAAGGCATCGGCACTTATTCTCTAATAAAACATAAGTAAGCTTACAATTATAAGAAACGTTAATATAATTTTTTCAAAAATTATAATTTTCATTCTCGGGACTTCTATACAAGTAGCACAGCGTCCCGACTTTTGCCGACTGGCTATACTGTTGATCAGCTTTTGGTTGTCAGTGATGCCGGAAGAACTACAGGAAGTCGTTATATCTGTTCACTGGTTCCTTAGCGATCACGCGCCGCGTATCATATCAGTAGATAACAAATAACAGACGGAATGATAGAACGCAAGAATGCATTTTATGTACGCATCATCGATAAATTCCAGAAATATGGAGACGGGTTCCTACCCGTTACCTAATACGATTTTTTTTAGTCCAATTGCGGCGATCTTCCATTGCAAAGAATAATATCCACTTTAGGGAATCAAGATTATAAATCGGTTCAAAGATAAAGTGATGTACCGTTGCGTACAACACCATTTTTAGCGACAAACTGTATTTTTTTTGTATTACCACTAAGTGAACGTGGAAACGAGCTGTTACGTACTAAGTTACATACGTGCGTCCACATGACACAAGCTTTAACACACACACACACACATATATACAATTACAAAAATATATAAATATTACCAAGACAATCACAACTGCATGACAGCTTTGAGTAAGTAGAACTGAAATAAGGGGACGCATAGATGTCCCTTATACAAAGTAACTGCATTACAGTTACCTCGACTCGGGGGCACTCACGCTGAATTCGAAGAGAAAGTTTAAAGCCTTCTTAAAAACAGACAAGATTTCTATATGCCGCTATTGATTCGAGTCCAAAATCTACTAAAAAACCTAATAATATAGAGATATTTTCAGGAATCGCGACAACGATATCGTTTGCCCTCCTGATCAAATTCAGATTTATAAGGTCTACAAAGTACATACATTTTTAGCCGAACTGCTCATGGTGAAGAAGTACGGTGCAGCTACCCTTGTCCCAGGTGATTATGATAATAAAATCTATGGAGAAAATAAGCTTTCTGATTGGTAAAGTGGTATTGCAATCCGATAAGTGCCCTGCACTATGTTCATGGTAAGTAACTGAGGTAGGAATTGTAAATTATATAAGACAAAAATAGGGGCAACGCACAGTCATGTGTATAGAGCCAAAAATATGATACATAGAGAAGCAACATTAAAACAAAAGCAAATTAAAGTTTCTTTTCAAGTGCTATTTCCGGAATAGAAAGGGAACGGATAATCTTAATTGTAATAGATAATTTCGAAAACATTGATTCTTATTCAGCTTCGAGTCCGCTAGAAAAAAAAACCAACCAACACGCGTCGGCATGACAAAAGGTAGCGACGAATCGGTTGGAGTTGGTAAAAGCAAAAAATTCAGTATAGCAAAGGAAACTGATCAGACCGATTCTACGTGGGTTATCTGTTCTTGGCTTTGCATGTAACGTTTAGTGGGTCTGCAGTTCAAATATGTGTTCTTTCGAAAGTTACTTTAGGCGCTAACGTTACGAAAGCAACTTAGTAAAACCACTAATGCTGTGATACAATTACTTTCAATTTCGATGTAAAAAAACTATATCACTACTTTCATTATTGTTATTATTAGTTATTTCATTTTGCATGAAATATAGTTTTTGTCTTTTTTCGTAACGATGCTGTGCGCGGAAAACAACAGCTGTCATAATCCTCTGGCCATAATCTCGTCTCGATTGTAGAGATCGTGATACGCTCACAAGTTAGCATCGTTTTACTATAGGCATAACCCCAATCTTGAGATTCTCGTAAATATGGAGCAGCCGCATATACATAACCGCTACTGCTAAAAAGCTATGAAACTGATAACAGAAACTATGAGTTTCTTTTTTTTTTTCACAGTATGCCCCGCTTGGGGGTTAGCTAAATTCCGAAAAGCATCAATCATTGTGTCTGAAAGGATCGGCTTCTATATTCAGCTATCTCTATCACTATTTACCCGCCGCTGAGACTGATAAAAGTTTCGGAGAAGTATATCGGCTACAGACCGGCTACAATACAATGAATTTGTTTACTCTAGCAAAAATCTGTAACATTCTCCTAATAAGATGTATCGTCTTCCCTCGACTCGGGGAAAATTGCAGCTTCACTTTAAACCCATCTTATAAACCTACTATAAACCCCCCCATAAAACGGGATAATACCGTCCAGTGCTTGCGTGTCTGGCCTCTATAGAGTAGCGTTTAAACGTAGTACGAGATACGAAAAGAAACTGGACCGTCCCGTTGAATTTTTCTAAGACTGCATACGCTATTTGAAAAGATAGAAAGAAGACAATTGCTTTAATCACTAATATACGAGTGTTTACTGTCTCTTCTTGAAAGATATTATATTATTTAGCAGCATGTGCTATAAGTTTTTTGAGAACTTTTCTCGGATTCAGTTTAGATAATTGCTATACATCTTGCTTTACTGGCCAGGACCCAGTAGTAATTACCGAAATAATAATGTATTTTTAATAGCGAAATTTTAATTGCGAAGCTACAAATTTGGCCACGGACCTACCAAACAGCGTAGGACCTGAGCTAATATTGTGATATTCATGGGTGGGGATTAAAAAAATTTTATATTATCCATCACATCACACTCAGCGGACCCATTTGTACAAGTCATATTCATTAAGATTAACGATTGCGAAATTTAAAAGCATCTCACCAATTTTAATAATGCCTTCCCAGATCTACTTTAACAATAACGAAAGTTGGGAATTAGTTAACATGAAGAACTTACCTATTATAAGTGCATATCATCACGATATACTCGATCCTGACCATTCAGCAGACTTCGACTGTGCAATGAACGACTTCGGTCGATCATTCATCTAATTAAGACGTCTATTAAGACATTAACAAGTAGACCGTCCCAAATGTACCGGGTTAAATAGCCTCTTGCAACTGATGCTATAACAGAGGATTTCCGTTAAAGTATAACCTACAAATACACGCGTTTACCCCTTATCGAGGATGATTCAGTCGGTTTTTTCAGATTTTACGTTTAATTTACCTTCCGTCGAAATAATTGTCAAAATTTTAAATAGCTAACGCCATTCAGTAACTCATTCAGCTGCCTCGCTGGAGTAATACTTGTTTTTCGTAGGATAGACAATAAATTTCTATTTTATATATAGATAGCACTGTAACTTAAGCGATGTACTGGGTATCTTGCACAAATACATAATGCTTCGAAGCGACGATCGATGCCTTTGCTTCAACATACTTACTGTGTTTCAAAAAAAAGAACCATTGTATGCCAACGTTTAGATATACACATACGGTACCATTTGTCTTTCCGCTGTCGCATTTTTTTTTAGCCGCCTAGCTGATTTGTCGACCTACTGTAGTCGGACTGCTATCCGTTTCCCAGGTAAAAGGAAAGGGTATTATACCTCAACGCTCATCATTTGCTGGAAGTGCATGCAAACTTTATGTGCATGCAGAAGCGAAGTAGAGCCGTTGCCATAAAAGGATGATGACCTGTGTCACCGCGCACGCACGCGGTCAAGCGGTAGGTGTGTTGTCCGCACAAGAATGAAACGCCTCCGGGGAGAGGAGGTGGCCAAATGAACCCCAATAGTATCAACTTGTGCCGTATTTATAAATTCGTCTGCGCAAGCAACAGCAGCAGTGGCGGCGGCGGCTGCTGTTATCATCGGTTAACACCGTTGGCTATCCAGAAGCGCGTACCTGTGACAGTAAGTAGTTGAGTGTCAATTCAGTGTGCGATGAATCAATGTTCCGACCATTTCCAGATGAGCTAATTAATATGAACATGTCCCATGCTGTTATCATTTATTGTGGCCATTTCGTCGGAAACCTGGAATGTCGAACGGGTCTGAGCTGAAGTATTGCTGCTCGGATCGAAAAAATAGGTAGATAACTATCATCTGCGCATTTCCTTGAGATCGTGTACATCGTAAAAAAAAGCTACGAAGATATAGGAGAAATACTCGCAATAAAACAAATTCTGGTCACAATGACGAATTCTGTATCGCTAGTCGTCGCCCCACGCAACGCCAACGAAAGTGACAGAATCGACGTGGGAAAGCGGTGCCAAGACCAGCGCGAATCCAACGGCTTGTGTACTACAATGTCGCTACGATCAGATTTCTTATCGCTATCGGCTTCCATTGAGGTTAACTTCGACTGCCACCACTCAGCGTCATATAAAATTGAGTCGTCACAATCATTTTGGCAGCGCATCGTACCAAAGTTTGCAAAAAAGGCCATTCAGAAATATACGAGTAAGTTATACACAAAGCTCCAAGGTGACACAAGGGACGGATCTGGCAATAGGTCTTGGTGCGGTTTCATTTCACGATGCACGCAAGAAGTTCTCTCCGACCTGAGTACTTCACACATGAGCGAAAGCAAAAGACCTAATCGACGCTGGGAGATTCTATACGACGAAATCGATGAGCTGAATTTTCGGCTTGGAGAGGGTGGGCAAGGCGCGGTGTCCCTCGGCATGTATCAAAATACATTGGTTGCCGTAAAAAAAGTGAAGAGAAATCGCGACACAGACCTCGATCATTTGAAGGAACTTCGCCACCCAAACATTGTGCATTTTCTTGGCGTATGCTCCCAAGCAGAGCAATACTTTATTGTCATGGAATACTGCCCCTACGGAGATCTATATGGAGCGTTACATGTACATGGACAAAGTACTCCGTCTAATGTTGTCAAGTGGTCCAAGGGGATCGCCGCTGGAATGGAGTATCTCCATAAACATCGAATTATTCATTGTGATCTCAAATCGCCAAACATATTGATTGGACGTAAAAGTAACGTCAAAATCATTGATTTTTGTAGCACCGGTGGCAGTAAGGCGTTGCGAAGGCCTGAGTCTAATCAACGGTTTATGTACACTGCAGCATGGAGTTCACCAGAGAATATTCGGAAAGAATCCTCCTGTTATACCGGAGACGTCTGGTCATACGGTGTTGTCCTTTGGGAACTACTGACCTGCGAAGTCCCGTACAAAAATTTACACCCTAATATGATTCTCTACGGCGTGGCTCAGAATCGTATTGGTCTACCTATAGCAAGGTCTTTGCCGAAAGGCTACAGAAGGTTGATAGAAGAATGCCAGAACCACAAACCGCAGAAACGACCTTCTTTCAAGCAAATCATCAGGCGTCTAGAAACAGCGTGCAGTGACCTGTTGTCATTTTCAGAAAAGGCTTTTTGTCTGGCGCAAGCCGAATGGAACACAGAAGTTGGATTGGATCAAAGCAATGAGTTTACGAATCCGTGGCTTAAAGCGAACAGGGAGCTTTCTGGTGGACCGATTGCTGACTTTGAGTATGATCGTTACGCCTGGCACTATTACACTGGAATATTAGAGACTGGCGACAAGCCGGATCAATGTTTAGACGAGGTAGGTTAAAGGACTGCTTATTACGTTACTTATTGCCTTCGAGTTGAGCGTTCACCCAACATTAGTATCACATGAGTTGAAATAGTTCAAAATCAACTTCCAGGTTTTGCCTGTATAACTTCTAAGTTACGACGTCTCGTTTTTGCGGCAACACTTTACAGGCAATGCGATGGAAACGCACATTGACAATTCGCGAAGCGGAATTTTCTGCTGCCACTGTATAAGTAATGTGGTGAAATCTCTGTTTAAGCACAGGACTAAGCTGCGACCGGGGGGTAGAACGCGAGATTGTTTTCCTACCGTAAGACAACTATGCACATAAGGACGACACGGTAACCAGTACTCCACCAGGTTTCGAGCAACATCTGTTACTCCTATCATAGTTGCCTATTTAGGTTTTTTAAAAGCGACTAAGAAACTGGCTGTTGCACAGGGGCTATAGTTGCACCGAAACGTAGTGGTATGCCAGGCAACTTCAGTTATCAGCGATAAAATAGGTGGAACTTATGAGAAAGTTAGCTGGCATTTGATAAGAATGTCGCAATGATGTTTCCGCTTATGTCCCGGTACTCTTACATCTGGAAAATGAACTAACGCACTTCCTGTGTAACCTTCCCATCGTTTTTCGGGTTATCCCAGCTTTAGAGCCGATTGTTAAATTTTGATACCTTAAATTCTTCCTTATTTCGAATATCTCAAATAAATTAAGCCGACAACTGGGCACTGAATAATAAATAGCAGGAATCTACGCTGCTTCGCAACATCTCTGTATGCACAAGGTTGGCTGTAGCGTTCTGCACAGTAAATAAGGGTACCGTGACAAAAATACCTCCTTGGCTCTATGTATATATTGTGTTGACCTGTTGAATAAGGTTAGGCATATGTAGAGCAAACCATTAGGCTAATACATACAGATAATTTAATCAATCAGTGTAATGACTAGTTGGGCAAATGTGCGACAAACACTAGATCCCTTTAAGCCTTTTTCTTCAAGCAGATCAACAGATAACTCGCAAAACGAAAAGAAGCTAGAGTACAATAACTATCTTTAAGCGACTGTATTAGTTAATCATCTAGAACTGGAATAAAGAAGACAACCTGTGAGGTGGGCATGTCCCCGCCACATCACCGTGTATACAGTACACCTCTAGCATTGGTTCTATTTTTGAAAACTCACAAAAACAAACTTTGAAAAAATCCTATTGATACAATCGAATTTAAACGTCGAGCGCATTCTAGCTTGTCTTTTCTAACCGTAAAAAAAAAATGAGTAAATAGGTGGCCGGGGCAACCGCTTGTAACTTACCGTATCGTATCTTCTGGGTGTTTTTTGAACCCTTCTCAGAAATAACAGATACTACGACCATTTTCTTTTTCTATAGCACATCATGTCTTTCTTTAGTTTCCACCTTACCTAGAATGACATTTAATCAATTTGGTTTCCTCAAAGAGACGCCGCCACGTATTGTGCTCTCTAAAATGGTCCGCCGTACTTTTAAGCTACAAATTTCTTTGTCGTATTTGCTACGCAGTGCCTTTATTCTTCTCTTTTTCCTTTAATTTACCTGTTCTTCTGAAACGATTGCCCAACTTTTTAACCAATGGCTGAGTCTGCCAACGTGCGATATGCAGGCTGGCGTTAATTCTATTTACCTCTTTTGGTGTTGAGGCATCACGTCGAGTTAGGCGTTTGAACGGGTGGTTTGAGTTTTTCTTCACAGACAGGCAGATCTATGTATGTTTTTATTGACTGTGCTTGAAGAGTTACTGGTAAATGGACCTTTGGTTGTACAGACAAGAACTCTACGATAGATTTTGTTGTATGGAAACGTCTAGAAATTAAATCCCAGTAGTCAATCTCGTCAGACACTTTCGGCGTATGCTACAGTTTAAAAAAAGCTTTTGAAAATCTCAATTTAAATTGAAACGGCTAAGACACTATCGATTACATATTTAGTTAGTGCCTAGTGGATTTATATTGAAGGAACATCTACACTAAAGTTTTCTTTTTTTCTGTCCCTGGACTTCAGTCTTCAGGACATAACCTGTATAATTACTTATTAACTTTACAGTCATGCTGCTTCAGGTCGCAGGGTTGCGTTTAGCTAATACTAACACAATGCATTAGATGCCTGCTTAACCGAAGAGCCTGCAAGATAGGATACATTTTACTCCCTAACTCTATCACCTAGAAACACCTTTCATTCTACTGCTTATTGGGCAACCGTAGAGTATCAACCGACAATGTGCCTGTCTTTATGCGTCTACCAGTAGATTATCTTGTCTTTTTTGCCTTCTTATCTCTTTCTGCAATACACGACAGTACAACAACCATGGACACCTTCAGCAGTGACAGATATCTTTCTATATAGATATATATGTATGTATGATAGGTAAACTGTAGACCATTTTCATGTCAAACCATGCCTTACTCATAAAAATGCTCGAAAAACAATTTGCACGACACATTGTTTACACCGTTTTTTTTTTTTTTTTTCTATTCAACAAGGATTTTTTACATTGCATATTTCAGGGCACTCTTATTTTGTAACTCAATAGTGTTTTTTTTCGTATAATTATCTCGTAATAAATCAATCTTCTATTAGATGCGACACGCCGAGCCAAAGAAATATTGAGTAAGAATGGTATAACAGCATAAAAAAGAGCATATCGTTATAAATAATTCGATTCATTGTATAGCTGCGGCTTTATTCATACCCATAATACTACTTTATATCATGTCGTTTGTGATTAAATGCGTATACCCTTCTCCATCGTCGTTTTATCCAGTTCGTAACTCACTCGGGTTTCTCTAACGCTATTCTAATTTTACTGTTTACATCGATTCTTATTGGTCACGTATCTTTCACGGTGTAGTTGTGGGTCCTGCTTCTTACGATACTGTGGCATTACGTCGAACTCCGTGGCATCGCGATGCGTTGTGACGCGACATCATCCAGTTCCAAGCAAACCACTGCATTTCAGTGTAGTTCATAGTCGTTCGAAATTCCGCCTCGTCTCAAAATACCAGCAGCTTCCCTTCCGATCCATTAGGCCACAGTGTTGCTATTATCAGGATACTATCAGGGGTGATGCATACGATTAAACTTTTCACGGCGGTTTGCTAAGCGTTCCGTCGTCACCGGCTTGCTCACGATGTGGTCTGGTCCCTTCAGTAAAATAGCGCAGGGCTTCTGATGCTGATGACTACTACAATAACTGTCTTCTGGAGCACAGGCGCGGCAGAAGAAATAAGAGGCAGAAAAACAATGGCACAATCGTAGTCGGCCGAACTGCTGTTACAGATCGCTTCTGGCCGAATGATCAGCATCTGAAATAATAGCAACGATAGTGAAAGCAATCGTAACGATGACAGTATATTGAAAGCCCTCAACCAACACCCATTGGCGACCTATAACGCGCGTCTATTACTCGATGCCTGGTAGTGCCTTCATTTCTAACACTGCGCAGCGGTAACGTAACGTCTTATATAGGCTATGATCATTTTTTTTTTCTAGCAAGCCGATAAGTCACGTACCGTCAGGGGATCCGTTTACGCTACGCTGCTAAGGGAATGAGCCACTCGAGGACAGACTCTGACTAAAACGAGCGTTGTCCCGAAGCAGGTGCGTATGGTAGTGACGAACTAAAAACTGAAGTCAGACAAAAGCAGGACGGCGGTTCTATAGCAGATTATCTGAGCAAAATGGCCAGAAAACGAAGTTGAGTGCGTGCCACTGGCGAGTTCGCAAATGAAAACGATTTCATCAGCGTAAACTCATAAGCTAAACAGCCTTACGATGTTACAGAAGAGCTGACAAGCATGACTGCAAATAATAAATGCGTTGTTTTTCGTCGTATTATTTTCTTTATGTCAGCGAATGGATACATTTCCGCAATAACATGAGAAGATCGCCCGTATCGTACATCAAACGTATATCCGTAAGAACTTTTTGATGACGCCTGTACGTTCGATGGAATTCATTTTCTTATACAAACACGTCAATCCATCTATGTCCATTAGATGAAGTCGGCGAACTTCATTTACGGACGTTGTTGAGACATCGAATGAATGCTCACTCGGGCCCCGAGAGCCTTCTCTATTTATAGAAATAATACTGATACAGCACAGTATTAGCAATAGGCTCAATTGCTTATAGTGTGAATTCCTCTGAAATAAACAAAGGCAAGGTATACTCTAACTTTTCACGTGCCTAAAACTATAGTGTGCAGGCGCACACCCATATTTGAATAGGTTTTATTAAACAGCAGTTACTTTTTTGAAAGTTCAAGTGCTTTATACTCTACTGTGGCGATATTTAACTAAATAACAGCTAAACAATAACAGTACGCTATGAGTAAACTGTCATGAACGACATAAGGTTAACTTCGTGCAGCTTAAGGACATGTTATGGTCCGTATCCGAACCATAGATAGACACACGGTTCATTTCGATGGAAGTTTGCCTAACGTTACCCTGCGATTGTGGTTTGAGTTAAAGCTACGTTACGTATAGGTCTAGACAGATCCGCTGCATCTTCGATTCTCGCCGGCTAGTATAGGGTCATACAACAAAATGTAGATATTTTTACTGGTTTAGCCTTTGGCCGAAACACGTAACACACACAAATAACTGTCAAGCACATGTCCGTAGTCTGCTTAAACCGTCAACACACAGTTATTATTATTACATACACTACACACGGCTACTAGCTACAACTACGATGAACATTTGGATATGGCGCCCGATAGAACCGCCGCTTCTCTGACCGCCATTATTACAATAGTATATCGTATTGGGAAATCCGTCTTTTTTCACCTTATCCATAGCTCCATAAATCTGTCACGAGGCAGAGGTCAATGGAAATAGGTCTGAAGCGTCTGCCACCGCTGCATTTGAATACCATATTATAGTAATGATGTCTTGGTACGCAAATATAGCCAGGATGACACAGACACGCATCAGACGATAACAGCGCCAAAGTAAATAATACCCGATTATATGATGAAGACCTGGACCGAAAGTTCTTTTGTGTCCTATTTCAAATGCTGTTCATTGGCTGATGTGTTATAACAGCGCAACGTGCCTGTCTTCTAGGCGTGACATTGCAATAAAGCTGTCACGCGATGATTCGCAGATTCATTGAGTGGCATAACAGCCATAAAATCCAAGTAGGTTTCGGGTAGTAAGACGCAGGAAAGATTGCGGTCGTGACGTGTTACGTCAAAAATGAAGTTAAATTCATAATGCCACTACAAACCTGTCAATCACGTCAGCAATCCACAAACGAAAAAAGATCGTGGGATAACCATTGATTCTGTATTGACTAGGGGCTATTCAACGATACCATTATTATTAGAAGCTGTTCAGCTGGAAGTAACGTTCAGTGAACAAGATCGGGAATTAGTTCCTACACCATCCACAAAAGTACGAGTAGCAGTTCAAGGTTTCATTGAACTAAAACACGGGCAAAACGGCCTTTGCGAGATTTATGGCAAGAGTTTTTTTATTATCAAGTCATATACAAAAGCGGCTACGGCTTGTTAATTAATTAACAACACAAAATAAAGAAGCTCTCCCCGTACAAAAAGGTCCTACCTAGGTTGATATCGTGATCTATTAATGTCGTTATTATTATCGTTACTAAAATAATAATAATTATTATAAATAGGTTTGTTTTTCCTGAGAAATTTTGCCCACAGCATAATTGACCCCAGAAGATCATTTTCGGCTTCGTTCGATCACATTCCTCAATTTCTTCTATGTTTTTTTAGGCATATGTCGTGCGTTGGGAGAAACCTTGTCTCTGCACTCGCGCTTGTTGAGGTCCATTAGCCATCCCTAAACCTGCCGTCTTAACGTGCTTGCTGAAAAAAAGTATTTGTTTACCCAATTTGAAGGTTAAAGTATCATACAATGCTCCTTGAGCCTTGACTATCTGTTCGATGACCGCCAAAGATCCGATTGATCAACTGGTTCGTTACGCTCTGTATTGTTCTACCTGCCTAGACAGCGGCACACATGTGCATACGTCCGCTTAAGAAGACCTCTTCTGCGCTAAATAAAACATACTTTGTACTACGGAGAGGTAGGAAATCATTCTTAATGATGATAACAAGTTAACAATCAGCGCCACTCGCGCAATTAATAAAAATGGTCAGGGTGTTTAAACAAAGAGTTACCTGGAAATGACACGCTGAAAAAAGAGGAAAATTCCCTAGCTCATTGCTGAGAGCCGTGTGAATCTGGATTTGAGATGTGGAACCTGGAGCCTGCCAATTTCTCTGCGGACAAATTTAGCTGGCTCTA